TTGCTAATTCTTTTTTTTTTCTGTCATTCATAGTGGCGGTGCGTAATGAGGACATTTAAACCAGAAATCTCATTATTATAATTATCTATTTACTTTTCTATATTGGAGCATATATAAGAATTATGTAAAAAAAAAAAAATAGAGTTATTTTTTAGAGTTATTGCTCAGAGATTATTTTTATAATTAATATTGGATTAATGTTACATTATAGAAGGTTTATTCTTCTTGCTATTTGACCAAACTTTTACATAATGCGAATTTCAATAATGAATCATTATTTCAAACCTATATTGAAAATGATATTAAAATTATTGAAGTACCTATTAATGTCATGCTAAAATTAACATTTGTAAGAGCAAAAATATTTACTCAGTATTATCGTAAATTTTGTAAACATCAAAAATTCTCAATTTCCATAATACCGAACCCAAGAATATCATTTTAATCATCTAAGTTTTAACATACGGTTAATTTTCACCTCTCAACCTTGTAACGTCACTACCTTTCAATTCCTCAACAACTAATTTGTCTACAGTATAAAGACTATTCAAATATCCTTGTCTCTTTACCACATCTAATTCATGTTCAGCTTTCTTAACCAACTCGATAATTTTATCTGGCCTAGTCTCACTTTTATGTTCGCGAAAAGAATCTCTGGTTTTACGGCACGCATAATCTCTGAAGTTGTAATTTGAAAAATTTTTGCTGGCTTTCAAGATTGAACGATAAATATGTAGAATATGAGCTCGACTTGGCGGACCCTGTGTTACTGGCATTCTTTTCTTTTAGTATTCCTGCCTTTTTTTAGGGGATTCGAGTTATCAAAATGAAAGTATCAGCAACTCATAAAAGATACACTTTTCGAGATCTTAACGCACTATTCCTTCTTTTTAAGTCGAGTTTTATAGAAAAATAGAAGGATAATTCATCGAAAAAGTCACTACACAAAAGATAATCAAAAAAGTGAATACAACCTGAGTTAATCTTAATTCTGGCCGGAAACCTAAATTACACAATATTTGCGTAAATAATTTGATCAGAATTAAGCTTAATTGGGGCCGAAACAATATTAGCTTTAATAATTTAACCAGAATTAGTCTATCTTTCGTGGGAATTCAAACTAACAATATTAATGGGTTTATCTTCCTTTAATAGTAACAAGTTATGGATAATAATTCTCTGGTAAGTTTTGTATCCAAAAAGAAATAAAATGTTATTTTTTTAGAAAAAAAATTTTTTTTTTAATTCACAATTATATTACAATAGCTTTTTTTTTTTATAACCAGGGATCAGACAGTATTATGTGTTTATTAATTATTATGAAAACCAATAGAGATACTTAGGACAATTGTATCATGGCTAACCTAAAAGACTTGTATTGACACACTCATCAATGGCTTTCAATTCTCAAAAGAGTTTTAATCTCTAAGTGCAACCTTAGAAACAATATTTTGTTTTGTGATAGATTTTGGATAAATACCTTCCTAATTTATCTATCATTGTTAGCAGATTGTCACTGCTTATTATCCTTCAAGGAATTGAATTCAAGAAACACAAAAGGATAAAGAAAAAATAAAAGAAAAAGGAAATATCTAAAACTGTATAAATGCATTATATGAAAAGAAAAAAAAAAAATTAAAAATGTTTCATGGCATTCAAAAAATCTTTGCTAAAAACCTTTTCTCATTAGAAGTTAATTCTTTTGAAATATTTTTCTTCTTTCTGACCATTTGAAAAACTTATTCATCCCTGCTCTTGATTATTTTCTTATAACCATCTGAGATACTTATTATCTTGATTTTATATTCACTTGCACAAAAGAAGATGACTAACAGTAGATCCCAGGTTCTTATGTGACTTTTTAGTCTTGTTAAGTAATTTCTGATATCTTTCGCAGCCATACCTAGTTAAAGAAATTTTATTGATGTTTATCTTAATTGTGATATCATTACACAACATCTAAGGAAATACATTTTCTATCCTAGAGAAGAGAAATGTTTTATATTCTTCTACTTTTTGATTTTACAACCTGACCAGAATAAGAAAATAATCTTTTTTATATACTTTGTCTAATTGAAATAATAAAAAATTGAAGGTCTCAGCTTGAATAAATAATCACCTTTTCATCATCTAAGAAATTTAGTATCTATTTTAATGACCTTATGATTTCTTTGCTTTAGTTAAACTTTATTTGAAGAAATAGAAAAGTTTGTATCCTTGATTTCTCTTTCTTTTATCAATAACCTTATTGGAATATATAAGTATAGCAAGTAGAATCTTGTTTATATTTTGTTATCAATATGTTTTATGTCAACTAATCAGAAGCCAGGTAATATTGTGCTATCAGAAATTCAGGATCAAGCTGAGGTAGGCAAAATTCCCTTCAAAAAACTGTTGAAAACTATAACATTTTAAAAGTGCAAGAGACAGTATATGAGAAGATGAATAATAAGCCATTTCTTATTTAGAAAACCTCTATCTTCATG